GCATATCTTCTGGCATCCTATGTGACATGCTATGTGGCATACAGTATCTTCTGGCATTCTATCTGACATATCTTCTGGCATTCTATCTGGCATATCTTCTGGCATTATACCTGGCATATCTTCTGGCAGATGTTCTGGCATATCTTCTGGCATTCCATCTGGCATTCTATCTGGCATATCTTCTGGCATTCTACCTGGCATATCTTCTGGCATTTGTTCTGGCATATCTTCTGGCATTCCATCTGGCATTCTATCTGGCATATCTTCTGGCATATTATCTGGCAAATCTTCTGGCATTCTATCTGGCCAACATTCTGGCACTTTATCTGGCATATCTTCTGGCATTCTATCTGACATTTGATCTGGCATTCTATCTGGCATACCTTCTGGCATTCTATCTGGCATATCTTCTAACATTCTATCTGGCATATCTTCTGGCACTCTATCTGGCATATCTTATGGCATTTTGTCTGGCATATCTTCTGGCATTCTATCTGACGTTCTATCTGGCATATCTTCTGGCATTCTATCTGGCCGTTGAGGTCCAGCGGTGCGCACTGAGCTGGGAAGGTCCCAGGTTGAGGTCCAGCGGTGCGCACTGAGCTGGGAAGGTCCCAGGTTGAGGTCCAGCAGTGCGCACTGAGCTGGGAAGGTCCCAGGTTGAGGTCCAGCAGTGCGCACTGAGCTCGGAAGTTGGCGAAGAGCTTGGCGAAGAGTTTGGCGAAGAGTTGGCAAGGCGGAAGTGGAGGTGGAAGTTGATGCAGACATGGTCGAGGAGAAACCGGAGGAGGAGGCGGAGGAGGAGGACAACAGCTCTGATAAAATCTAACAACCCTCACCTGGCAGGTGGGGAATAAACCATCCCATTTTTGATGATTTATAGCACCCTTTTATGGTGAATTTAATTTGGGAATGGTCTTACAGGGAAGATTAGGAAAGCTTTCCCACCCCAAGATCGCCATCCAAAGGTTTGGCCACGCCATGTGATCGCAGGGACGAGCGTCCGCAAGAAGCACGACATGATAATACCCGTACCCTCATTCCCACAAGTTGATATACTCAAGACAGGGAATTCCTATGGTGGTTAAAATTGGAGAACATGGTCAATGGTTGAAGCAGAGTCAGGTTGAACAAACAGGTGCCAGCGTGCCGTTCTCCATCGCAAGTTCCGATGGAGCAGCGAAAATCGAAGCTTCATGGCTTCAGATTTGGACAGGAATATGGGGAATTTCCTCAACTAGGGCTACTGTACCCCCGAAATTGATGGTCTAGAATAATGGAACATTGTATGAAAGTGGATAATTTTTGGGGTGCCCTTATTTTAGGAAACCCTATTTATCTATACATATAGATTCTAGATTATGTATCTATATATATATAAGATTGTTTTGTTTTAAATCAATCCATAGATCTGGATAAATCATAAGGATCTCAGTGCGACGTCGAAAAAATCCTTGGTGTAAGATTCCTGGGTGCTTCAAAGTATGATTCAGCTGATATGAATTGATATCATGAAAGACACTCAAATAAAATAGATATTGTGACATGTGGTGAATCTACTCATCATTTGATGTTATTTCTCACCCATATCATTTTGTTGTGTACCCTCTGGTAAACTAACATAGCTATTGAAAATGGCCCATTTATAGTTGATTTACCCATTAAACATGGTGGTTTTCCATATCTATGTTAGTTTACCAGAGGGTATCATTGAAGTTGGAACAGGTGACCGACATAAACTCTTGGACACGTGGCTCGGTAAATGAGGGCCTAGGGTGCATGAACAACATGGGGGTTTCCTAAAATGGAGTTACCCAAAAATGGATGATTTATAAGGGAAATTCCCATTAAAATGGATGATTTGGGGGTTCCCCTATTTCAGGAAACCCCCAGATTTCAAACTTGCGTTTTTCGATGGATTCCATGTTTTGTTTCTTTTGAGATAATGATCCGCAATGCGCAATGACGGCCATCATTCCGTATTGTTCAGTACCTGGATTATTTGGGATAATCCCAAATAAGTCTATTCAATTTTTCAAGCGATAGAAGAGCCTAGACCGATGTACGTAGCAACATGTTAAGAATTGTTAAGACTTTTGCTGGTTGGTGGTTTGGAACATGAAATTTATTGTTCCATATTTTGGGAAATTCATAATCCAACTGCCGAAATCATATTTTTAAGAGGGATAGGTATACCACCAACCAGTCACTATATACCATGGTAAACTAACATAACTATGGAGAATCACCATTTTCAATGGGTAAATCCACTATTTCAATGGCCATTTTCAATAGTTTTTTTGCCATGTTTTACCCATTTTCATGGGGGAGTGTCTGAGAGGATTTAGGATGGCCAGTTCTGTCCGTTGCTCTTGGTCTTCCTGTGCTGCGGTGCTGTGATCGGCGCGGTGTGATGCGCCGCAGAAGGGGCAATCTGTGGCCAATGGTCATGGGAGAAAGTGAAACACAGTACATGCTACAATAACAGCGTCACCTTGGTATTCATATGAGTTCATATCGGTTTAGAAGTTTATCTAGAAATGTTGTAGATGTTATTCATGTCATTTCATGACTTTCAGTTGATCAAAAACCATGGATTTTTCACTCAATTCATGGTCATTTTGTGGGTGACGGTCTCATCCGGTGCCGGGGGATGTCAAATTTTGCTCATTTCTGGGGGTTGGGGGATCCCAACTTTTGTGAAAAACAGTTGGCGATCGAAGGTTGGACGGTGTATGATCTATTGAAGTTCTTAATGATCGGAAAGATCGCAAAGATCGATGACTTAAGTTGGGTTTTTAGATTGCGTTCTTAAACAAAAAAACACAACACGTCTAATTGTTAACAACAAGTCTAATTTTAGATATAATTCTAAACAACAAGTCTAATTTGTTGGTTTTGGTTGGTTTCTATGTTCTTTCAATGTATCCACTGCTAATCCAAAAATGGCCGGAAAATCCTCCAGCCACACGTTTGAGCGTCCTTGGTGGTCATATTTCCAGAATGCAGTTTTTGGTAACAGGATAGCTGGTTGGTGGTTTCAAACATTTTTTATTTTTGCATATTTGCATATATTGGGAATAATCATCCCAACTGACTAATATTTTTCAGAGGGGATGAAACCACCAAGCAGTATTAGATGATGGCGTTTTCTGAGTTTTTTTTCCAGGTGTCCAGCTATTCGGAGTGCAGTCCCATTGGTCACATTCCCATTCTCCGGCTGGCGACATGGGCTCCACAACACGGCGAAGGGGGCTCTGTCACAATCCCATCCACTGCAGGGAACGAAGAATCCACATCTTGGAGTGCCGGCGGGTGGAGTGCCATGCCGTTTCAACATGTTGAAAAACATGTTGAAATCCGAAAACGGAATGATGGGAAGCCAGTAGTATTGATATGTGAAAAAGGGGGATGAAACCACAAGTCGGTAACCTTTAGATAGATAAAACAGATCTCTATATATATATATAGCTAGTTTGTATCAAAGGTTCAAGTGATTCAGACTCTGGACCCACAGAAAGGGTGCAAGACCCATCTATGAATTTGTCCCATCAGAAGAAATCACAGGAAAACTCTCTCTGGAACAAACATGCCGCGGAGTTTGACATTGTTGATTGCACCGATTAGATGAAAGGGCTGATGCAGATGAACAGAGTCGGCTATGGGTCAAGTCATTTACCCCAATAATTGGATGGTTAATACTAAGCTAACATCCAAAACTAACAGTCATTGGGTATGCTTAATACTAAACTAGACTAACATCTGTGGTCCCCTAGCTATTCCATTTTGACCCACCTCCTGACGTCGATTTCTATCGTCCATTGGGTTTTTTTCAGACCGCGAGGCCCCGGAGGTAGAGCTTAGCAGGGAATGAGGGAATGATCCATAATCACTAATAATAATCATCCCAGCAACCCCCAGCAACCCATCCATTCCCTACGTTTAGCACCAGTAAGCAGTTCGTATACTGTATTTAAAGTTAGTTACCTTATGTTTAAATTGATTGGATTCCGTATGTTGAAGTCGGTTGAAGTGGCCGGGCCAAGGAAAACCTTCCCGGAGGTAGTCAAAAAGACCTGTCCGTATATTTAAAAGTGTGTATATTTGAATGTAGGTACCGTATGTATATAAGGTCTATTTGAGGCCTATGTTGTAAGATGTTGTAAGCATCTACATAGCCTATACCGCCTATACCTGCATAGCTTATGGTCGTACATAACACTATAGAGGGGCTTTGGACTGCTCCCCTCGTGGGAGATCCAAAGTTGTAGCCTGACAGCGAGGGAGCACGGTGACTCCTCTGGCACTCCAGTTGTGGAGGGCCATAGTCGACCCTGACAGAAAATCCTGTTCTCGCCACAGAGCGACGGTTTCTATGAAAGATGACAATGCTTCGATTGTAATTTCTTCAGGAGGCAAAGAGGATGAGAATGGAACTGGGAAAAAGATGTCACCAGTTAGTCCTAGACTTTGGAAATTGGGCTGGGTCCACTGTCTTTCATGTGATGATATCAATTTGAGCCGTGGTCGTAGATTGCGGCTGCTGGTTTCATTGCAAAATTGCATGCAACTTAGGGAAAACTGACCCAGTGTTTTTTCACCCAGAAACTCTGCAATGTCATGAAAATCAGCTTAGAAAGGGGGGCGGATTGAAAATAGGATACCCCCCCGCTCCTATGGTTCATCAGTTCATCATTAATTTTTACTGTCTTTACTAGCAGTGCCATAAATTGATTGTATTTCATTTTTAGATATTATTCAAGTATAATATTGGTGATTATAAATCCCACTGTATCTCATGTCCTTTTAATCCACACGAATACAATATATAATATAATTAAGATGGATATAACTATAACAGATAACATATTATAACTACAGATAACTACAGTACAGGGTATATATATAATAACTAATTAATTATATGAAGTTTTTATATATATATATATACACATCTATAAGCTGATAAATCCCATTAAATCTTCTGGTGAATCCCCAAGGTGTTTGAGCAGTCTGTGGCAGTGGAGACCCTCTTGGTGTCTCGGTTTCAGCGGTTGCCGGTATCAACAGAATATGGTGACATATCTTGAAATAGGGGTACCCCAAGTCACCATGGGTTTCAACTAGTTTCAATACTAAGTCCTATATAGTCGTTTCGAAGTCCTTCGATGATTTGGGGTTCCCCTATGGAAACATTCATAAGGTGATATATTCTAGGTCAACCTATGTTAGATACGAACTAGTACTTTAATCTTTGAATCTTTGGCTATCAATGGTAAAATGTACTAACCAGCAAAAACATCGCTTTTTGAGAGGTATCCAAGATTCACCATGTATCCGGATATAGCGGGAAGATAGTGGGAATATAAATGGAATTCATTTCTTTAGTGGCATTTGCTGGGATTTAATGGAATTGAACTATCCACACATGCTGAGATATTGGTGATTTCATGGTGATTTAACATGATTTAACCAGCAGAGATGGGAAATGTTATGACCTCACGCCGTGACGTCACTGGAATGCTTAGGATTCAGGGTCATCCCCAAATGGCAGCCAAAGGGCCTTAGTTCAGCTATTTTCAGGTCAGTGAATTACAACAAATTCAGCCAGATGTCATTTCAATGTATGAAACACACATATGTATGTTGTATACACATGATACGACATATACAGATAATGTGCATATGTAGAGAACATTGTATGGACATGTAAATTCATCCCTTTGCCAGCATGTCAAATACACTTGTCAGCCCCATGTATCCCTCTGTCAGTCTGACTGTCAGTACGTATGTTTGTCTACTCTACTATATATGTCAGCCCGTGCTATACTTGATTTCTTTTTGAATTTCATACTAGTTACTATACGTGACTTCGTATGTCAGCCCAAGTGTCAGATTGTAAGCATGTCTGGAAGCCAAGAATTAAGTCCTGGTTCCAGCGTAGTTTGAGTTGCCAGCATGGGTCAAAACAAACTACAGAAGTGTTTTGCGATGCACTCACGGCAAAGGTTGAAGAGTGTATCGGCTATCGGCTTCTGTATCAAATGACCAGGTGGTTCCAAAAACTATAGCGTTGGAAGGAACAACCAAGTATTGTCCATCATGTAGACTTCCATGGATTTCCCTTTTTGTGTAGCTGTGGTATGTTGTGGTATAAGTGGTTTTACATGTTTGTACCAGTCTTATGCTTGGTTGGTTTATCCCGTGCTCCACCTTCAAATTGGTTCTGTGCCTGTTGCACGACTGTGGTTTCGAAAATTAGGCATCCAAAAAGGGATGGTATCATTTCCCCCCAATTCAGAATGCCCCAAAGCTCCAAGTTGGCAGCTTTTTTCAAGGGCCTCTTTGCTTGCCTTGAACTAGACTTCTTCATCAACACCAAATTGTCTTGATCCGCTTTCACTTAAGTTCACTGAAAAAGATGTCGGGGTACAAGATGGTATTGATCCTAGGAATCCTGGTTCACTTGAGTTCACTTCCATATCGGGGTATAGGAATGGTATTAATCAATGGATTGGTTGGGAAAATTTTAACCGGAAACCATAGATGTTCCCATGAAATATGGGGCTTTCCTGTAGATTTTCCCTTAAACGACTGGCTTTGGACTCATCCCAAGCCCCAGCCAGCGCGCCTCTAGGAGATTGCCCGAAGCGTCATGGATGAAGCGCAGGCTCGGTGCGATGGTCCTTGGCATTTAAGGGGATTAGTGGGGTTTAACTATCAAATATGGTGATGTAATGGGATTTAACTATCAAATATGGTGATGTAATGGGATTTGATGGGATTTAACTATCAAATATGGTGATGTAATGGGATTTGATGGGATTTAACTATCAAATATGGTGATGTAATGGGATTTGATGGGATTTAATTATCAAATATGGTGATGTAATGGGATTTGATGGGATTTAACTATCAAATATAGTGATGTAATGGGCTTTGATGGGATTTAACTATCAAATATGGTGATGTAATGGATTTTGATGGGATTTAACTATCAAATATGGTGATGTAATGGGATTTGATGGAGTTCAACTATCAAATATGATGATGTAATGGGATGTGACAGGATTTAACGATCAAATATGGTGATGTAATTGGATTTGATGGGATTTAACTATCAAATATGGTGATGTAATGGGATTTGATGGGATTTAACTATCAAATATGGTGATGTAATGGGATTTGATGGGATTTAACTATCAAATATGGTGATGTAATGGGATTTGATGGGATTTAACTATCAAATTATGGTGATGTAATGGGATGTGATAGGATTTAACTATCAAATATGGTGATGTAATGGGAATTGATGGGATTTAACTATCAAATATGGTGATGTAAGGGGATTTGATGGGATTTAACTATCAAATATGGTGATGTAATGGGATTCGATGGGATTTAATTATCAAATTATGGTGATGTAATGGGATTTGATGGGGTTTAACTATCAAATATGGTGATGCTATCAAATATGGTGATGTAATGGGATTTGATGGGATTTAACTATCAAATATGGTGATGTAATGGGATTTGATGGGATTTAACTATCAAATTATGGTGATGTAATGGGATTTGATGGGATTTAACTATCAAATATGGTGATGTAATGGGATTTGATGGGATTTAACTATCAAATATGGTGATGTAATGGGATTTGATGGGATTTAACTATCAAATATGATGATGTAATGGGATGTGACAGGATTTAACTATCAAATATGGTGATGTAATGGGATTTGATGAGATTTAACTATCAAATATGGTGATGTAATGGGATTTGATGGGATTTAACTATCAAATATGGTGATGTAATGGGATTTGGTGGGATTTAACTATCAAATATGGTGATGTAATGGGATTTGATGGGATTTAACTATCAACTATGATGATGTAATGGGATGTGATAGGATTTAACTATCAAATATGGTGATGTAATGGGATTTGATGGGATTTAACTATCAAATATGGTGATGTAATGGGATTTGATGGGATTTAACTATCAAATTATGGTGATGTAATGGGATTCGATGGGATTTAACTATCAAATTATGGTGATGTAATGGGATTCGATGGAATTTAACTATCAAATATGGTGATGTAATGGGATTCGATGTGATTTAATTAGCAAATTATGGTGATGTAATGGGATTCGATGGGATTTAACTATCAAATATGGTGATGTAATGGGATTTGATGGGATTTAACTATCAAATATGGTGATGTAATGGGATTTGATGGGATTTAACTATCAAATATGGTGATGTAATGGGATTCGATGGGATTTAACTATCAAATTATGGTGATGTAATGGGATTCGATGGAATTTAACTATCAAATATGGTGATGTAATGGGATTTGATGTGATTTAACTAGCAAATTATGGTGATGAAATGGGATTCGATGGGATTTAACTATCAAATATGGTGATGTAATGGGATTCGGTGGGATTTAACTATCAAATATGGTGATGTAATGGGATTTGATGGGATTTAACTATCAAATTATGGTGATGTAATGGGATTTGATGGGATTTAACTATCAAAATATGGTTATGTAATGGGATTTGATGGGGTTTAACTATATATCAAATATGGTGATGTAATGGGATTTGATGGGATTTAACTATCAAATATGGTGATGTAATGGGATTCGATGGGATTTAACTAGCAATTATAGCTTAACTATGGTGATATAAGGGGAATTTCATGGGATTCAATATCACGGGATATACAGGGATAGAAGGGAAAACAAGGGATCAGGATGATAAACTCATGATGATCATTATCAGTATTCCTATTATTCGTATCATCATTATTTATGTTTCCTATTATTACCATCATCCTAGTATTATTACTATCATCAGTCTTATTATTACCATCATCATTACTTATGAGCTGTTATTATTATCAACCCTGGAATTTGACCAACTCCAGCTCCCAAAACCTGCAGGACAAGAACTCCTGGAGGTTGAAGGCTGAAGAAGACAAGGCGTGTCGTTGTTTTTTTTTTTTTACAACTAATATTTAATATGGAAATAGTTAGAATATATATATGTATATATATATAATGTATACATTATGTATATATATATATGTACATTATATATATATATATATAAATTATATACATGTGTATATATATATGTACATTATATATATATATAAATTATATACATGTGTATATATATATATGTACATTATATTTATATATATATATAAATTATATACATGTGTATGTATATATATGTACATTATATATATACACATTATTTTTACATTATATATACATTATATATACATTAAATATGCATTTTATATACATTGTATATACATGATATACGCATTATATATACAATGTATATACATTATATATATACATTATATATACACATTGTATTTATACACACACATTATTTATATACATTATATATATACACATTATATATATACATTATATATATACACATTATATATACACACATTATATATACATATATATATATATATACATTATATATATATACACTCTCTCTATATATTTATATACACATATATATATACACATAAATATATATATATATATATACATAATGTATTTATATATATATACATATAATGTATTTATAATGGATATATATATATACATAATGTATTTATAATGGATATATATATATATGTATATCTGTACATACATTATATATATACATTATATATACACACATATATATATATTTATTTATTTACGTATATAATGTATATATAATGAATATGTATATATATATACATGTGTATGTATATATATACATATATGTATATTTATACGTATACATATGTATGTATACAAACCTTTATATACCATGTAAACATGATAATATGTAAAAAAAATGAGAAGATATAACGGTATGTTTGGTATGGTATATCATTGTATGTGTGCTCTTTCATACTGACTTATGTATATATATATATTTATGTATCTCTATATATATATATATGTATATACTGTTTTTCTTTTGTCAGTCCGCCTTGTTCGTGGGGCCGTGAAAGGAACTGGAAGGAACTGGAACAAAACAACACTTAGAACCTAATTTTGGCATTGTAGCAGATGGCCACTGCTAGCAGCTTGAGTGAAAAACATTCCTCACATACCTTGACGCTACAAGGAAACATCACATGTCAGCACGTCCATACTTCCGAGACTTAGATGTAAAAATATGATAAAATATGGCCTGTCATTGGATTTTTCGGAAACTTCCAGGAATCCAATCACGAAATCCCAATGGAATAGCAGCATTTCATCCATTCCGACAGCCCCCCAGGACTTCATCCGCCGTTTTCCAGCAGTGGTGTCGGAATACGAAGCCTGGCCCGGCGCCCTGGTTTTTTTCGCCGGGCTCAAGATCGATTCAACAGCTAAATGGGTATGGATCCATACCTATTAATACCATTTTTAGGGGGATGAACATCCATTTACCAGCTATTTTGATGTTCACCAGGGGTACAGGGTTTTGACCCATCCCCAAATCCACAAAAGTGGGGACAAACACAGATTTAACAGCTGCAATTCCGAAATTACTCCATGTTGGCTGCTCGGAACTGGGGGTGGACAATGACAGAATTCCCGAACTAAATGGAGGTAATAGGAAGATCATCGACATAATAGGGGATTTTCAACAAACAAAAAGCATCTGTGTTTGTGATTCAATACAGAACACACAACTCATATTTTGTTTTTTTTGATTTGCAGCTGCGATTCATCAGGATTTCAGGTCAGGTCCGGTCAGGTCCGGTGTCTCTTTCTGCGGAAGGTCATGGTTCATCGGGATACCGACAGAGAAGACAACATCTATCAAATATATTCAAATATGAGGTCCCATATTATAATAATTTATAACTCATCAACATTCTATTGGGACTGTAATTTAACAGTTAATAATATATTTTTTTTGGGTTTTTGCGACCATCAAAGAGAGGATGTGGCGAGTGCTGGGCGTACTGAAAAATGTGTCTCCGTGTTTCCCCCGCCGATGTCGTTCCCAGAATCAACTCACCAAGAGCGAAAATCGGATGGTTTTTTTGGGGAGCCCTTTGGTATCGGAATGACGAAACGCTTCTGGCAATTACATGTAATTACATATTAAATGTGTGTTGAAATGTCGATGATTTTCGTTCATCATTTTCCGGTTTGGTTAGTCATCATGTGTCCATATTTGTCCTGCCAATATGCCATTCCAGGGTATTATACCTCATGTTCAGTCACCCAAATTATATATTTGTATATATTTGTTGGATATAATTATCCGGGTAAATTATAACGACCTCACTGTTCTCCGAACCCTGGAATCATGGTTTTTATATGTTTTTACCCAACACTTCAGGTTAGTGAAATATTATAATTTACCCAGCATTATATCCCCCTAGGGTTGCTCTTCTACGCCACTGTTGGTTGTACAAATCCCCAAATCCAAAATACATTAGATATTAGAATATGTTTAAACTTGATAGTGTTTGTTAGTTATATCATATTATATCTATTTATGTCTATTTATATCTCTCAATATCCCGGTTGAACCACTATATATCGCTAGATACATTGGTAAAATCCACCATTTTTTGGTGGTGAAACCACCTTAATACGCTTGTACGATACATTCATTTGGTTTTAATGATAGTGACCTCGCTGTGACTTCACTGGAATCATGGTTAGGAGTGCCGTGACTTCTTCAACGACCGAGGTTACAATCCCGACGAAGCGAAGTCGTGCAGGTATACCAGCTATCAGTTTTTGATGTGAATAGCAGGGGCACAGTGGCTAGACCGTTAGACCCATCCCCTTTCATGACTTGTTATACATATTATAGATATATATATATAGGGTTAGCCCAAGTCAGCACAGGTTTCCATAGGTTTCCTTTCAGTACTAAGTCATGGCCATCCACGACTGGATGATGCAAGGGGGTACCTGGTACATGGTTTCAGCTCGATCGCCGGAATGCCAGGCCGGAAAGCCAGGCCGGATGCGTTGCTTTTGATTCAGAGAATTTCTTCGCCTTTCTGTTGGCTGGTTGGTGGTTCCAAACAGTTTTTCTTTTCCATTTCATATACGGGATGTCATCCCAACGCCGTTTTTCAAAATGGTTAAAACCACCAACCAGTTTGGAACATTTTTTATTTTTCCAGATATTGGGAAGTTCATAATCCCAACTGACTTTCATATGACTAATATTTTTCAGAGGGGTAGGTATACCACCAACCAGTTCTATTCTTCGCCTTTTTGTTGGCTGGTTGGTGGTTTCAAACAGTTTTTCTTGTCCATTTCATATACGGGATGTCATCCCAACCCCATTGACGAACTCCATCATTTTTCAAGAGGCTTAAGTCACCAACCAGATTATTATTAACCATCATTCACCATATAATAACTATATATTAACCATTTTGTTTACAGTATTTCAAGATGGTTAAGTCACCACCAACCAGTTCTGTTTGTTGATGTTTCAACCCACAGGATTCCAATCACCCACGGAATCACAGATGGATAGTTCGACCGACAGTCTCGACAGGTCGGGGATCAACGCAGGCCGGATCCATCGGGGGATGACCATGTTCAGTGTCATCAGTATACACATGTACATATATATATGTATCTATATATATATATGTACATATATATATATATACATGTATATACATATATATATATATATACATATCGTTTTTTTTGCAGATCTTGACTTTTTTTGAGCCGATTGCCTAGTTGTGGCTGGGGAATCATCCTTCTCACCATCAGGGTGTTTCTCTTAGCCATGATCCCTTTAGAGCCACCGTACATGTTTTAAATATACAGCTACCCACCATATGCAGGCGTAGATGTGTATATATATATATACATATATGTATATACACATGTCATGATCATTCATTATCCTGAGCTATATGTTGTTGTCATTGTTTGCAATGTTTTATTATTACTGTATTGTTATTATATATATATATTTACATGCATGATATATATATATATAATATAATATATAATATAATATATATATATAGATGATATATAGATGATATACATATCTTGATATGTTGTGATATACACATCTTGAAGACTCGTCGAGGCCTCCTCTGCCTCCCGCTTCAGAGGGAAGCTGGTGCCCGAGGTGAGACGATGCTTAAATTGATAGATTTTATAGGTGTTGAATGGAGGTTTCTTAAAATGGTTACCCTCTGGTAAATTAACAGTTGGACCCTGAAAATCACCAATCTATAGTGGAAACTAATCTTCCAACCCCGATGACTGCCAGGGTCTATGTTAATTTACTGGAGGGTAATATGTGATAGTGGTTGAGCTGATTTATTTGACCCACAAATGGTGACCACAAAAAAGGGATTTTACCAAGAAACATTGTGAATTCATGGGATTTTTGATGATATTTATAAGTGTGTAATGGACGTGTCCTAAGTCATGGGGGTACCCCGAAATTATCCAAGTCATGGATGACCATGACTTAGTATTGAAACCCATGGTCTTGGGGGTCCCCCATTAAAAAAAAAAAACATTTGGATAAAGAACAAGGGACAATCCTACATCAATGGAGATTTAGAGCAAGATCACATGAATCTTTATCAATTTTCACTGCTACCGGTTTGTTTGAAGTGATTTTTGACTTTCCCCATGGGAAAATACACCATTTGGAGAATTCATGCATTGGGGATATTTTTTTCGGGGGGCCTTAAGCAAATCCAAGTTTTCCAAATATATGTCAGATATCCCTAAACAAATCCACACAAGAAATTGTGTTGATAAAATCACATATCTTGAATATCTCTTGGGCTGGCATATATTGATTTACCAAAGATAATATATTTCCAAGCATACGGTTTCTCGAGCTGGATTTATATCCATGAAAAAAATCCAACATGCTTTTGCTGGAATATGTTCTGGGAATCATGTGGGATAAAGTAGTGACGAGTCTAGTGACTTTTTTATGGTTTATAGTTATGGCAGCTTTTGAGGCACCATCCCCAATAGAGGTTAACATGGCATTCGGTATACCCATTAAGACCTTCAAATGCTTGGGTTTACCTGATCCTCTTTGGTCCAAATAATGCATGGTTTTATTGGGATTTAACCAACAACCATGCTGGGATTTGATTGGAATTGATATACTCTCTGGTAATTTTGTTATGGGGATATATATATATATACAATGATATATAGTGGGATATGTGACATATATATATACACACATTGAACATCAACATGTTTAATAGGACCCTCATGAAATCAATCACGGCACCCACAAGGCTTGGAAGATGATTGTGCTAGGACATTCTCAGTTCGTATGAAACCTAGTTAAGATATGTTACAATCATATACCCCATATTCATATATGATCCCGACTGGAATCATCTTATTTTGCAGTTCCATGTTAAATTTCTGCAAGGGTCCCAGGGATTCCCAGGGTCCCTCCCTTGCGGCCTATCTCGACACGTTGGCAGGTGCGGGAATGTTTGCTCAGTGGACCCAAGACCACAGAAGAGATGAAAAAGTGGGGATCCCCAGAGGCCCCAGAGATCAGCATGGTGGTTATGAAGCCAGCTACCCTCTGGTTATGACTAACAGTTTGCCATGGTTTTTTGATGGCCCTAATCGAAATAGATGCTTTAGCGAACTTAAACATGGTGGATTTTTCCATGGCGAACTGTTAAATCACTCGATGGTATGTTTGTTTTTTGCGCGCTGCAGGATACGATTGTGCTCAGCTACTGGATTCTTCCTAAGATCTAACATAAATAATGGAGTAAATAGTGGAGTAGAATCAGTAGAAGAATAGAAACCTGCAGTTTCCATAAAGAACTTGGGGACGACACGACCTGTGAGGTTGGTCCAACGAAAGCATCCCACTTTGGAGATTCAGGAGGCGCAAGGATTGCATCAAGTGGGGCATGGGATATATCAAACATTACCAAAAAACATGGAAAATCACCATGTTTATTGGGTAAACAAATCATCTATAAATGGTCCATGTTCCATAGCTATGTAAGAGGGTACTGCTTCATGTGGTTTCATGTGGTTTCATTTGAAGCTTTCTTTGTTCAACCGTTGAACCATAGAAATTTGGATCATGATCCCCAAGAACGAGCCAAAAATCAGGGTTGAAACCACCTAGCAACATATTCAGCCCAGCCACCAGTTGTTGAGGCCCCGGTCGCCTAAAATTGGAAGCTGAAGATTGGCTAGCCATTTCAGAGCCCCTGAAACTTCTTGGGCGAAAAAAAAATGAACACATATCTTCTCTCCTTTCCATCCCTTTCCGTTTCAAACTCATGAAATATGCAGATTATGGCAGATCATCTAAGCACATACTAGTTGTTCCCTGCAACTAGAATTTTTGGTGGGGTACTGGCGGCCAACCTTTTGGGGCAGTCTCGAACTCGTGTTTCTCACGTTGGTGAAATCTACTTGGTCATGGTCAACTGTTCAAATCTGCAATTTTGAGATGTTCCAGTTCAAAAAAACATGTTTCAATACTACATTCATCTACATTCAATCTCCGAATTCAGCCGTTTTTTTTTCTGTGTCTGGTTCCATCACTTGACCGAGTTTCTGTGGGTTGCGCTGGTGCTTAAAACAGGAAGACTTGCTGGGCAGTCTCAATGCCAAAGAATTGGATGCGATCCAGGCACTTGTTTTCGGGGATCATGTTTATATAACTGGTTGGTGCTTTGGAACAAACCATCAACTATCTCTAGGGGACATTGATGTATATATATATGGGTATGGATCAATACCTATTAATACCATTTTTAGGGGGATGAACCAGCTATTTTGATGTTCACCAGGGGTACAAGGTTTTGACACACTGCCATATATGTATATACTGTACATATATATATATATATACAGTATAGGACCAACACAAAGTTCATGGGAAGGAGACTAGTACCCTCTGGTAAACATACAAAAAACTATGGACACATCCACCATTTTTAATGGTAAATCAACTATTTCTATGGCCATGTTCAATAGCTATGTAACAAATTGCCAGAGGGTAACATGTTTCCATAATATTGTCGGGTTGGTGGTTTGGAACATGAATTTTGGGACTTTCCATTCAGTTGGGAATGTCATCATCCCAACTGACTTTCATATTTTTCAGAGGGGTTGAAACCACCAACCAGTAATCAGTAATCATCTTACTTGTGCTTAGTAGGGAATGAGGGAATGATCCATAAGAACTCTCAATAATGATTCCAGCAACCCCCAGCAACCCATCCATTCCCTACGTTTAGCACTAGTAAGTCGCGTAGTGGTTTCCTAGAATGGAGGATCCCCAAGTCCTAATTTGGATGATTTGGGGGTAGCCCCATTTCAGGAAACCTCCATGTGGGATCTCACGATTTGGTAAGATAACTGCATATAAGTATCAGACATTACAAGATGCACTTTCACGATTAAATACATATAATAACTGGTTGGTGGTTCGGAACATTCTTTTTATTTTTGCAGAATATATGGGATAATCCTTCCCATTGACTAATATTTTTTCAAGATGGTTAACACCACCAACCAGCACATGATAAAGATGCACTCTGGGTGAGGATCATCAACTTATATTCTGGTTGGTGGTTTGGAACATGTTTTTTTCTTCATATATTGGGAATAATCATCCCAACTGACTTTTATATTTGTTCTGAGGGGTAGGTCAACCACCAACCAGATATAGTTGTTTAATGATGTTTCATCCCACGATTCCAATCACCCTGGGACCCCTGGGGGCCACTTTGGCTGTTGCTGGGGTTTATGGATGAACTCATCCCCCAACATATGTATCAAACTATATTGATATATGTACTGTTGGTTAGAAAATGTTAGAAATATATATATATATATCCCATGATATCATATGATATCCTCATTTTTGAATATGTTGGATGGCTTTGTTGCCATTCATCCACATCAATCCCAAAAAAAAACGGCCATATTCGGTTGAATCGTTAAAACATGTGAAAACCATACCCATATTGAAAGCGTTTCGTAGAATTGTTCGCTACCCAAAAACTGTGGGTTTTGGCATGCACAAGTAATCACAAGTACAACTGATTGGATGTTGAGGTCCGAAAATTTTAAGATCCACTGGTTCTCGTTAAAGTGTGGTAAGTTCTTCTAAGTGAGTTATCCCCCCCAAAAAAAAATGCTTGGTGGTGACTGGAACATGGCTGGATTATAACTTTCCATATATATATATATTGGGAATGTTATTGAATAATCATATATTGGGAATAATTATATAATCATCCCAAGTGACTTTCAGTCCATCATTTTTCAGAGGGGTAGGGCTCAACCACCAACCAGATAAACGGCTTATAACATGTTACACACAGTGATTACCACGATTCGTGGATGATGAGCCTCCAAGGCGATTTGTTCCGATCACCAAAATGCAGCTATGGATCACCTTTGGAGAAATCCTTTTTTTCCGACCAAGCCACAGCCATTTCAGAACTTGGGGTACCCCTATAATCAATATTCATCAATCATCAACTTGATGTTTTTTTTTTCCATTGTTTTCATCATGTTTTCATCATGTTTCATCTTTTCCTGTATGAAAAGCTCCGCAAAAAAACCCTTGGGTTGCACCACTGGGCGACGGCAGGTACGAGGCGTCTGGGTGCTGGCGGGCACGGGCACTGAATCGCATGACAAGTTCCGCAAGACCTTGCCGGGGGCTCGGGGTGGTTTATGACTTCAATAAGTAGAATGTTTAGTATGGTTTGGCTGGCCAAGTTGGTAGCTATAGTTTTTTTCAGATTTTATATAGGACTTGTGGTATATCAGTATATCGGATTGGTTAGGGTTGCAATAGCCACTTAAAACTATTAAAACTATCGGTGAATTCTCTGATTTATGGGTGAAAGCAAACATGACTGGGGGGCACTACTCGGCGATTATCCATAAGAAGCCATAGATGTCGGATTCAAAGAAACGATCTATTGGGAAACACCGCTTTCTCTTTTTTATTTTCGCAATGAAGTATTGGGTGTTCCTGTTATTTCATTCTGGATACACTTGGACATTTGGGCATATCTTGGCATATCCTTGGCCAAGAACCAATGCTTTTCCTGGGTCTTGAATTTTGATCTGGACCAAATACCCGCACCCATTAAGATAGAGGTATACTGGTATACCCCAAAATTTCCCAACATTGATGGAGGCATTATTTGGGGGCTGTACAATGTTGATCAATGTTGTATATACAGGATTTCCCTGTTGTTCCCTGGCAAATCACAGAACAACCACGAGAAAACGAGGTTGACCCTGTTCAAGCATCGCGACTCCGTGACGCGACAAGACGTCATGGCCAGGGAAACCCAGGTTAATGCGAAAATCAGCATCCTTTCACTGTGGATATCCTGTTCCTGTTGGTTGCTTTGTTGATTGCTTACCCTCCTGTACACGTTTACATAGATGTGGGTTTACCCCACCATGAATGCCATTTCCCGAACGGGAAACCAGCCAGGTTTTCCACATCTATGGACATGTTTACCCTAGGGAACCCCCATTAAGCAACCAATAGGATCCAATAGCTATGACTGATTTAAATGATGATAAATGGTATCCACGCCGGCTCATCTATTTTTCCCTAAAAGGAGATGGTTTAAGTTTTGTCCTGCGATTTCTATTCATGGATTCCTTTCTGAGTTTCTCCTGATATGCCTTTCCAATTAGATAAACCCAAATATATATATAATATGTATAATATATATATGTATATAATTATATATATAATATATAATATATATATATTACATCCCCAATGGGGGTTGATTATTGGCTTAGCGGGTAAAGCCCTATGAATTCATGGGATGATTTTTTTCCTGTGACCCCTGTCATGGTTACCGGCGATTTAACCGTCTGGCACTGCTCTTGGAGTTCATCACGCGATAAAATCCATGGTGAATCATCTAGAAATCAATGAAAATCATGGTGATTTCTATTGAAAAATCTCGTTTGCTACTGAAAATCACCAATGTTCATAGGAAAATCGATGAACATCATCATTTTTCATAGGTGAATCATGCTGACTCATCTAGAAATGGGCCCTTTTCCAAGCCAAGGAAGAGTACGAGCGCGTTCATGGAGAGAAGCCCGGAGCCAAGTCGACAGGATATCGAGGGATCCATGGGTGGGAAATCCTGCACTTGGTAGGTGGTAAACATTCCATTTAATGGGATTTAATGGGATTTAATGTGGTTTAATGGTGGTTTAATGGTGGTTTAATGGTGGTTTAATGGTGATTTAATGGTGATTTAATGGGATTAACTAGGATATATGATGGTATACCCTCTGGTTATGACATTCACAGTTTGGCATGGAAAGATCCACCATGCTATTAAGAACGGTAAACCATCTATTTCTATGGTTCTTACATGTTCTTAATACCCTATTTTTGTTGTATATACCCTCTGGTTATGACTATATAACAGTTTGCCATGGGTATGACATTCACAGTTTGCCATGGGATAGTATAGATGGCCCTAATCGAAATAGATGCTTTACCTAGCTATAAAATGGTGTTTTTCTATCCCTGGCGAGTTGTGTGTCATAACCAGAGGGTTTTTTGGTGTTCAACATGTTTCAACCATCGGTGCAGGATCAACTTCCAGGGAGAGTGCCGTGTGTCATAAATCAGCCATAAATCCCATGAATTTCCAGTTGTCCTATGGTTTTCCTATGGTTTTCCTATGGTTTTTCCAACATTCTATCTTTCACAAGGAGATGTTTCCTCGCTTTTTCCACAAATTCAGCTGCCGGTGATTCCCCCCGCAGCGTGACCACATCGCCAAGCATTCAATGTCACTTACTGTAGGATGATCTGCCAGATACCCTCTGGTAAACTAACATAGCTATGGGAAATCACCATTTTCAATGGAAAGATCCACTATAAATCACCATTTTCAATAGCTATGTTAAATTACCAGAGGGTACTACCCTTTTATATGGAGATGTCCTAAAATTGGGTGTACCCCAAATCATCCAAGTCGGACACGACCATGACTTAGTATTGGGGATCCCCCATTTTATGAAACATCCATATTGTATAATTATAGTCTTCAGATGTCTTCAGTGAAATATTCAAATTCAGCCAGATATCGTTGCTATACTATACATCTCACGATTTTCGAACATCATTCCCATTAACAATAGATCCAGACCAGACTCCAAAATGAAATAGCCTCCGGTAATCAAAGATAGCAATTGGAAATCCCACGTTTATAGATGATTTCCCAGCTATAAACCTCCATGCCAGGTTTGGGTTATCCATTTCCAGGTTTGATGACAAACATTGAAAGGTTCAATGCGAATGCGCCAACTCCCAATCCTTGCGATGGTGTTGAAGTTGGGTCCTGAACTTCAAGAAAATGATTGTCCATTCAAGTTATAAATCCCATTAACTTAACTATAATTGTCCATTTATAGAAAATGATTGGTTTATAAATCCCATTAACTATAGTTATAAGTATCATAAACCATAGTTAATTATTGGAGTTATGTTCACCAACTTTGCTATCATTTGGGGGCCCCACATTCATATCACTGCCACCCACATCACTGCTATCCACGAATTGTCCAGGTGCAAGTTGAGCGACTACATCATCCGTCAGCAGCTGCGAGAGGTGGCCGAGAAGATCGAAGATGGCCCGATCGGCCCAGCCGTGTCGATGGTTTTCGGTGAAAAAAACGTTGGGAAAAACAACGACAAATTGAGCCACAGAAATTGGATAACTTCTTGGTGGATAGAGGTTGGCTTTTCTGATTCATAAATGGAGCATATTCATATTATAAGTTCATCCATTTTCATCCATTTGCCAGATCTACCCTCTGGTTGTTTAACATAGCCATGGTATAGATGGCCCTAATCGAAATAGATGGATTACCTATTAATAGCATGGTGGATCTTTCCATGGCAAACTGTTAGTCATAACCAGATGGTATATGTAGGTGTTTGGAATAACCATGATCATTGGTGTTATATCATGGAGTTATAATATATGGGATCATCCTTCCCATTGACTAATATTTTTTAAGATGGTTAAAACCACCAACCAGGTTAGTTTGACCCCAGATCTCCCAGATCTCCCAGATCTGGAGGATCTGGTGGCCTGAGGCGGACAGACCATCTACGTGGTCAAGGGAGCCATGCAGACGCGCTGAAAATTGGCGAAAATTCTGCGCGATGGGCGATGATCTGCCGTGGCAACGTTGCCGTTGTGGGGATGATACCCTCTGGTAAACATACAAAAAACTATGGAAAATTACTTTACTTCGTGTGATCCCCACCATGACATTTATACATTTTCTTACTGGCAAATCTTCTGGCATTCTATCTGACATATCTTCTGACATTCTATTTGGCATTCTATCTGGCATATCTTCTGGCATATGATCTGGCATATCTTCTGGCATATCTTCTGGCATTCTATCTGGCAAATCTTCAGGCATTCTATCTGGCATATCTTCTGGCATTCTATCTGACATATCTTCTGGCATTCAATCTGGCATTCTATCTGGCATATCTTCTGGCATATATTCTGACATATCTTCTGGCATTCAATCTGGCATTCTATCTGGCATATCTTCTGGCATTCAATCTGGCATTCTATCTGGCATATCTTCTGGCATATATTCTGACATATCTTCTGGCATTCTATCTGACATATCTTCTGGCATATATTCTGACATATCTTCTGGCATATCTATCTGGCATATCTTCTGGCATATTTTCTGGCATTCTATCTGGCAAATTTTCTGGCATTCTATCTGGCATTCTATCTGGCATATCTTCTGGCATATTATCTGGCATTCTATCTGGCATATCTTCTGGCATATATTCTGACATATCTTCTGGCATTCTATCTGGCATTCTATTTGGCATTCTATCTGGCATATCTTCTGGCATATATTCTGACATATTTTCTGGCATTCTATCTGGCATTCTATTTGGCATTCTATCTGGCATATCTTCTGGTATATCTTCTGACATTCTTTCTGACATTTTTTCTAACTTTCTTCTGCACATTCTTTGTCCCATATCTTCCTACATGAGGTCCGGCAGGGAACACTTGGCGTGGATACTCGCGGTTGAGGTCCGGCAGGGAACACTGGGCGTGGATGGTCGTGGTTGAGGTCCGGCAGGGAACGCTGGGCGTGGATGGTCGTGGTTGAGGTCCGGCAGGGAACACTGGGCGGGGATGGTCGTGGTTGAGGTCCGGCAGGGAACACTGGGCGTGGATGGTCGTGGTTGAGGTCCGGCAGGGAACACTGGGCGGGGATGGTCGTGGTTGAGGTCCGGCAGGGAACACTGAGCGTGGATGGTCGTGGTTGAGGTCCGGCAGGGCACACTGGGCGTGGATGGTCGTGGTTGAGGTCCGGCAGGGAACACTGGGCGTGGATGGTCGTGGTTGAGGTCCGGCAGCGAACACTGTGGATCGCGAGTCGCAGTTGAGCAGGAGGACGAGGAGGACAACGAGACGAGGAGGACAACGAGAGGAGGAGGAGAGGAGAGGAGAGGAGAGGAGGAGGAGGACCAGGCAACTGACATAAAGTCTAACAACCCTCACCTGGCAGGTGGGGAATCACCATTTTTCATGTGTAAATCCACTATAAATGGCCATTTTCAATAGCTATGTTAAATTACCAGAGGGTAGGACCACCAAAGTTCATGGTAAGGATACTAGTACCCTCTGGTAAACATTCACATTTTACATCATTTCACTATGGAAAGATCCACCATGCTATCAATAGGTAAATCAACTATTTTTTTTTAATGGCAAGTCTCATTAGCTATGTTAGTTTACCAGAGGATAACTATATTTAATATGTTTCCATAATGTAATCTGGTGACACAATGTATTATATTATATTATATTATATTATATTATGATATTACGTATAGAATATGGTGATCGTACAACACAAGTACAATATGTATCCAGAATCTATACTAGAAACAGTAATGATACTAATGTACATTATCTGTAGTAATCTAACAATGTGTTTTGCACCAACTACCAAGTCGCATGGCTATACCGCCATTTTTACCCCGGGGGACGGGACTTACTAGTGGTCTATTTGCCAAGAAGTTCGGGGATGGACAGTTCATGAATAGGAGTTTAGATATGTGCCATTATATACATATATATATATGAAATCATATAGATATAGTTATATATATAATATATATATAATATATATAATATATATATATATATAGTTCTCAGGATTCCCATCAGGGATGGATGATTATACCCCATTAATCCCATGCAGCTTGATGATGATCTTGACTCATATCTTTCTTAGATCATCACCCCAATAGTAATTATAGATTGTGACCCATCCCTTGAACATCGGAGAAGGCTGACTCCAGTGGATAGTTTTTTTTTCCCCACCTGCCAGGTGAGGGTTGTTAGATTTTCTCTAAGTTGCCTGGTCCTCCTCCTCCTCCTCCTGCCGCCTCCTTCTCCTCCTCCTCCGCCTCCTCCTCCTCCTCTCGTTGTCCTCCTCGTCCTCCTGCTCAACTGCGACTCGCGATCCACAGTGTTCGCTGTCGGACCTCAACCACGACCATCCACGCCCAGTGTTCCCTGCCGGACCTCAACCACGACCATCCACGCCCAGTGTTCCCTGCCGGACCTCAACCGCGAGTATCCACGCCAAGTGTTCCCTGCCGGACCTCATGTAGGAAGATATGGGACAAAGAATGTGCAGAAGAAAGTTAGAAAGAATGCCAGATCCAGAAGATATGCCAGATAGAATGCCAGAATGAGAAGATATGTCAGATAGAATGCCAGAAGATATGCCAGATAGAATGCCAGAAGATATGCCAGATAGAATGCCAGAAGATATGCCAGATAGAATGCCAGAAGATAGAAGAATGCCAGAAAAATGCCAGAAGATATGCCAGATAGAATGCCAGAAGATATGTCAGAATATATGCCAGAAAGATATGCCAGATAGAATGCCAGATAGAATGCCAGAAGATATGTCAGATAGAATGCCAGAAGATATGCCAGATAGAATGCATCAGATTTGCCAGATAGAATGCCAGAAGATATGTCAGATAAAATGCCAGAAGATATGCCAGATATAATGCCAGAAGATTTGCCAGATAGAATGCCACAAGAAAATGCCAGAAGATATGCCAGATAGAATGCCAGATAGAATGCCAGAAGATATGTCAGATAGAATGCCAGAAGATTTGCCAGTAAGAAAATCTATAAATGTCATGGTGGGGATCACACGAAGTAAAGTAATTTTATATATATATATTTCCCCACCTGCCAGGTGAGGGTTGTTAGATTTTATCTAAGTTGCCTGCTCCTCCTCCTCTCCTCCTCCTCTCGTCGTCCTCCTCCTCTCGTTGTCCTCCTCCTCTCGTTGTCCTCCTCGTCTCGTTGTCCTCCTCGTCCTCCTGCTCAACTGCGACTCGCGATCCACAGTGTTCGCTGCCGGACCTCAACCACGACCATCACCGCCAGTGTTCCCTGCCGGACCTCAACCACGACCATCCACGCCCAGTGTTCCCTGCCGGACCTCAACCACGACCATCCACGCCCAGTGTCCCCTGCCGGACCTCAACCACGACCATCCACGCCCAGTGTTCCCTGCCGGACCTCAACCGCGAGTATCCCCGCCCAGTGTTCCCTGCCGGACCTCAACCGCGACCATCCACGCCCAGTGTTCCTGCCGGACCTCAACCGCGAGTATCCACGCCAAAAGATATGCCACATAGAGTGCCAGAAGATATGCCAGATAGAATGTTAGAAGATATGCCAGATAGAATGTTAGAAGATATGCCAGATAGAATGCCAGAAGGTATGCCAGATAGAATGCCAGATAGAATGTCAGCTAGAATGCCAGAAGATATGCCAGATAAAGTGCCAGAATGTTTGCCAGATAGAATGCCAGCAGATTTGCCAGATAATATGCCAGAAGATACGCTAGATAGAATGCCAGATGGAATGCCAGAAAATTTGCCAGATACTTTGCCAGAAGATATGCCAGATAGAATGCCAGATGGAATGCCAGAAGATATGCCAGAACATATGCCAGAAGATATGCCAGAAGATATGCCAGAACATCTGCCAGAAGATATGCCAGAACATCTGCCAGAAGATATGCCAGAACATCTGCCAGAAGATATGCCAGGTAGAATGCCAGAAGATATGCCAGATAGAATGCCAGAAGATATGCCAGATAGAATGCCAGATCGAATGCCAGAAAATATGTCAGATAGAATGCCAGAAGATTTGCCAGCAACAAAATGTATAAATGTCATGGTGGGGATTACACGAAGTAAAGTAATTTTTCTGTTGGCTATAGACATCTCTTAAACTATTAACCCATGGATTGCCAAACAAAAAAACAGAGTCCCAGTCGTCCCTTTATGAAAAAAATCCAACCAGGCCCCAGGTGATTGGTGGTTTCAGCCCCACTGACTTGATCCAAAAGTCCAAAAAAAAAGTTGGAAACGCCGGTGAAACGCCTGTTGGATCAACGTTGGGTGCCGGTTAAACGCCGCCATTTTTTTGGGGATTACATCATCTCCAAAATGAAAGAGTTATAATTAGTTATAATATCCCAACAATTTAATAACTCTGGTTATGACTAACAGTTTGCCATGGTATAGATGGCCCTAATCGAAATAAATGGTTTACCTATTAATAGCATTGTGATTTTCCATGGCTATGTTAGTCATAACCAGATGGTAACCATTTAATCCCTTCTCAGTATGAAAAAACCACTTCCCAATAAGCCATGGATCATTTCGTACGCTCCGCCAGGGAGACCTCTCGTGCCTCTCGGTGCCTCTCCCACCAGTTTTTTTGGGGGAACATGTGCCACTGTGCCATCCAAAAACGTGGGTTGATCGTGGATGGGAAAACGAGCGGGGTTGAACGGTTGAACATGTTTTATTCATTTTTATTCATGGTTTTTAAGATGTTTTTAAAGCAACGTCATATATGGTGACATGTTGACATGTTGACATGTTACTAGGGGATGCAACAAAATGAGGATCTGAGCAGGCATGACCATTGGCGTCATCTCAGAACCGGAGACTCTGTGTCCATGTAATGATGATGCTTCACCCAATATGATGACTGACGCTGCTGTGCAAGATTTGCAAAGTGAGATTTAGCAAGGTTGAGCAGTAAGGCTTAAACCCAGTGGAAATTTTGGGTGGGCACTCCGTT